ATAAATGGCTGTCTCATCTCACAGAATTTTTTTTTTGCGTTTGTGGCTACAAGTATGAGGCGTTTGTGGCTACAAGTATGAGGACCGGTTCACTGAACTGATAGACCTTTTTTCCCAATGGGATCGCGAATTTTTACCTCCACAATTTAGGCATATATTAGCTACCGATTTTAACCTAATTTAGTTGAACGTCATATCGGCCGCCATAGCTCAATCCTATTATCATAAGAGTAGCATCGTTGGGAGGACACTATTGAACAGCGAGAATTCCGCACTGTTTTTCATAAGGACACGCCCAGTTGGCAGTTGAATACGGTCCGGTCGCAACAGGGGCCTTCTCGGATAAACGAAGTCGTCTCTGATTAAGAAGAAGTGCTGTGAGACACTTAGCCAAGAGAAGCAGCCAGGGCAGGGGATATCTGGCTGGGAATCGCAGCTCGCTGTTGGCGCCTACAGGAGCACGTCTCACTCGGCAACCAGAAAAAGGGTCGGTCATAGATTACTATTACAGAAGAAAAGACAAGTTTTCTTTAACGAATTGCCGAATGCGCCTAAATCTGCATAACTGGACTGAAGAGGCCAATATACAAGGGAAGACAATGAAGCTTCGTTCCGCTCCGTTCCAGAAGTTCGAACTCCCTCAGCTACCTATTGTCAGAGGCAAAAATGCGCAGGAGCGGTCGAGGGTAAAACATACATTGGAACCCAAGACGAGAAAAAAAAACTGCAACTTGCTCTATGAGCACGTTCCCTAGTGTGCCCGACCACCAGTACCAACCCTACCGGCAGACGCATTTGGAGCAAGGAGTACCCAGATTCGGGTTAGGGGATTATTTACATAATTAAGAGGTTTACTATACATCTACTTTGAGTAGAATCTTTTCACAAGATTAAAAACTACATGTTTATTGAGTATCAAGCTTTACTAGCTATGAAATTACAAAGATACACTGGATCACTTCCAACAACGAGAAAAACAACAACACGAAAATAGTAAAGCTAACCAGATAACAATATTACTACACACTACTTACAGTACACGTACATGGAATTTCTAAGCAACTCTACACAACAGCATTATTAACATTTGTACAATCAGTGGGCTCGAGATTATTCTTTCTGTGGAGCGGGCATGATGGGAATAGTTTTCTTGTTCTCGTGGCCCTCGGTATTCTTCGGAGCCTCCACTGACAAATGGCCCTTGTCGTCAAGCTGGGTACGAATAGCCTCCAGATCGACATTCTCGGGAAGCACATATTTGCGAATGAACGATCTGAAAGCATTGGAGCAATCAATAAGTATGAAATGCACACCTTACCGCAAAGGGACTGATAGCACTCACCTTTGTATGGCACTGTTCTCCGTTTTGTGCTCCTGCTTGCCTTCGATGGTCAACTGACGCCCTTCCAACTGCACTTTCAATTCCTCTGGACGGAATTGGGACACATCCAGAGAGACAGCAAATTTCTTGTCGTCGTCTACCATCTGCAATTGAAATTGATCTTTCAAAGGTGCTCATGGTCCTTGGCTACGCCTTTTCATAGAGAAAAATAATCACCTGCTGAGTTTCGTTAGCCACATGAAGCACTGACTGGTCAGCATTTCTCCAATATGGAAAGATGCTTCTTTCGAAGCGATAGAGATCCCTCATTGTTTCGTACAGCATACGATCCATTAGACGAGGTACTGCACACAATGCCATTATTGACTGATAAGAATTTCCTGAAAGAGGATAGCAATGTTTTCATCATAGACTGATGAGGATACTTGAGAGAGGTACTACGGAAGCTTGAAATAGACTTACAGTGATGAGATAGCTGTCTGAAGGGAGATTTAAGTAAAACGCTACTGGTCACTGCTCCAGGAGCTCCTTATATACCCGCGGCGATAGCCTTCGAGAACCATCCAGAAAGTTCGTTGTTTGTTGTTTTGCCGGCGCCTTGCCCTCTCTCGCTCACATAGCCCCGCCCATCAGCTGACCCGCTGCAAGTGCAGCGAGTGGAAGGGGCGGGGAGAGAAGTTCCCGAAGATTCTGGAGGATCCTTCCGAATGGTATATAAGCAGCTCCGAAAGTAGCTGCTCCAGCACAGTGAGCTTATACTACTCAGCAATCGACGATGTCTCTCTGCATTCTTCCATTTGCTTCGGAGGCGATCCTGCCTCGCCTTCTGGATGACGTCTTCAGTGAGCTCGATGACGCCTTCAATCAGTTCTACCGAATTGAACAAATCTCTTCTCCTGCTCCAAGAAGACGTGAAGGGAAGAAAAGTCTCATGGGCCAAGTAAGCAAGGTATGTGAAAATGCAGAAGTTTCTCTTTGGTCTACCGTATTTATTAAGCCAGTGAGAGAAACACTTACAGGTCAGCGATGACGGTTCGAAGTTGGCGATCTCATTGGATGTTTCAAAATTCAAGCCAGATGAGCTCAAAGTGAACATCGATGGCCGAACTCTGACTGTTGAAGGTAAACAAGAAGTGAAGGAAGGCTCAAGTTATACCGCCAGGTGAGTACCATGACTCCTAACATCTAGTTGGTCCTTGTTTCCAACCAAATTCTAAATTACTTCCTTTACAGATCATTCCTTCGCCAGTGGACTGTTCCGGAAGGTGTCGATGTCGAGCAGATCCGATCCACTCTTTCTGAAAATGGTCATCTGGCCATCGAAGTGCCAAAGGCCAAACCGACTACCACCTCCAGGAGCATTCCAATCCAGAAAGCGAACGATCAACCAGCAGTGAAGAGCAATTAATTGCTGTATTGCTCACTTATTTATCATTTATTTCTGTACAGCAGCAATGATATACGATGTCTTGTAGTTCTGTAGTTGTATATAGTATTAAAAATGTTGTTGGCAAGCAGTGCCTAATAAAACTGTAACAGAACGGATTTGTGATTTCACACTCAATACTGAGCCGACTCCTTTTGGAGTGGTCTCTTTCACGAATGGCAATCGGCCGTACGAGCTTTACACCTAGCAGGAGTAACCTGAACTCAGATCTTATCTGGCAGAAACTCTCAGGATTACTAGGTACGTATATCCACTTTGATATCACCAAATTTGGATAGAGGATACGTACTACGTAACGCTTATAAAGTGAAATACAAAAGTATTGGTGGGTATCAGCGTGAGGTTGTCAGTTGCGGCCGAAAACTGGTATTTCATGGATGAAAGCCAGCAATGGTTATTTTCGAATGTTGCAAATCCTAAGCGTTCCTCATGGCTTGTCTTATCCATCTACTTTTTCGACCTCTCTGAGCATAGTCAGAATTGTACGGTTGCAGAACTGTTTCCAGCAAAAGATGGATATCGATCCGTCCTGTACTGTATCGACTAACATAAGCCTCGATCATCGTCACTTTCTGAAAAAAAAAACTTCAGGACATCATCCGACACGAACATCTGATCCTTCTGCTACCCTTTCAATAACCTTTCACCTTTAGCAGGTTCCCTCCAGAAGTTTTAACAGCTCCCAACAACTGGGAAAGCTTGAAGTTCAGGCTGAGACGTTTGTACCTCCTTATTTAGCAAGCATGGGACCGGTTAGATGTTCGATTTTCGTTGAAATGAATGGTGGAATACCTCCGTCACACCATTTGTTCTGCGAGCTGCATCAGAATTCCAAGTCCTGCCACCTTCAGTGCCGTCAACACCTATGAGAAAGATGGTTAAGGAGATAGAATTGGAAGAAACACGGTTGCAGAGGAACTGCGACTTCTCCGACAGAGAGAAACAAAAACAATTTTTGCGTCAGGCGAAAACGCTCTAGGGCCGAGATTCGAGATGGAAACGAAACTTGACCTCTTCAATGCTATATTTAGTCGCTATAGTTCTGTCTTGTTTGACATGGCCAGGCGCAGTATTTGAAAAACTGGTTTTCGGGAGATGAGTATCGATAATTACCAAAGAAGAAATGAAAAAGGCCTCCTTGTATGGGGTAAGAGGGGGGTTGAGCAGAGGTTGCATTCGTGGCGAGTGCCGCTGCCATCCCAACTTCGTTCCGTGGAAAAAAAGCCATGCCCAAACCAGCCGAGCCTGTTGTTCCTTCAAGGATACTTCCCAGAAGCGCCAGTAGTCTTGGTACAAAAAGAAGTGACTCAAGATTTCAAAGCGTCTTTTCTTTGGTCATTTGTTTACGGTCTTCTCTAAATTTCTCGAATTTTCTATTTGTTTCGAGGTAGATAAACAAGAAAAAAGGTTAGGTATCATGTAGTACTATTGAAAGGGGTAGTAGCGAAAGAGATGGAAGTATAGTAGAACAAAAAGGGAGTTTAAGATGCAAGTAGCAATCTCAGAAGCACTAAAGGGACCCCTCCCGCATACCGCAAGCATTTCCTATCTTGCAATATTCAGTTGCCTCATCTGATCGATCATTCCTTGCTATCATGATTACAATTGGGCCGATCCTCCTCATTTGCGAGAGTTCATCAACTAATGATTTTAAATGTAAATCAGTAGAACCCCATGAACTGAGTCAATCTCGATAGACGTCATCCGAAGTACGCTTCTGAGAGACACGAGTTCTGCAAGGTNCCCTCCCGCATACCGCAAGCATTTCCTATCTTGCAATATTCAGTTGCCTCATCTGATCGATCATTCCTTGCTATCATGACTACAATTGGGCATCTTCCTCACTTGCAAGAGTTCATCAACTACTGATTTTAAATGTAAATCAGTAGAACCCCATAAACGTCGCTACTGTGAGTCAATCTCGATAGACGTCATCCGAAGTACGCTTCTGAGAGACACGAGTTCTGCAAGGTCAGTCAGGAGGACAGGGAGGAATTGGCGATGACAAGGGGTCCGCTATCGCTAATGCATGTTCCCTGGCACTAATCCCGGACCGATACCCAGCTCAAGCAAGCTTACCAGTCCCCCAGACTCGGTAATCAGCACCAGGCCCGTATGTGAGGTTCGAAGCACTGAATGACACATTGGTTGACTACCGTAAATCATTGTTAGGCCACATACGCAGTCAAAACATCACCACGGTCCTGACTAGATATCGATTCCGAGAGAGCATCAAAGGAATTGGTGCCGTAAGTCTCCGTACTTTCAATCAGGAGGACCATAAGTCAAATCGATGTGGTCCGGTGTCATGTGTAGCAACCGCGGGTAACGGGTATTGGCGAAGAATGGCTCCTAGCCCTACTATCTTGCTGAACTTTCTCTTTCAAAAAGTCTAATTCTGGTGATGTGGTGCTAATGGCCTACCATGCAGTTACGATCCGACCGAGACCTACTGAACTAATCCCTCTAGCAGATCCTTTTTCATAGACCAGTCGTGCTCATCCTTGGCTCATGATTACAATGGATTATGGAAGCAAGAAGTGACATCGGAGCAGCAAGGGTTCAACTCAGCCTTTCAAATCGGAAACCACCCTTCAATCAAACGCATCACTCAATCTTCGCTTTTCTAAAAATAGGAGATCTTTCACAAACTACTTTTTCAAAATGAATTCGTAAGGCATAGATTCGAGCATGAAAAAGACGAGTCTCTAATTTACGATATCATTCGAAGGCAAACTGCATGTCATAGAAAGTTAGGTTGAACCTCAAGTGATTTCTTTTAGATGAATGGGGTTAGGAAACCAGGGATGTTAAAGTTATAGAAGGTCAGGTATTGGATTGACGACGGCTTAACGGCAAGAAGCAGTCGTCGGTCAAGTTCTAACGATCGAAGTGACATGAAAATTCCCTTCATCCCTTGGCCTTTACTATTCGGGAAGTCCCGCCTGTGTGATTATTTCATGTTCGGGTTGAACAAGATAGCGCTGTCTATTTTTGGAATTGTGATGGAAGTAAAAAGATGTTTTTTATAGAATTTATTGATTTGTCTATCATTTGCAGATAAGTTAGGTCGATACTGCAAATCCAACACGCCTGTTACCATGGTCAAATATCGAGTAGAAGCTGCCTATGAAGGTATCACCAAGGATCCATGAGTTTTCTGGAATTGAGTTGTACAGTCCTACCAAAAACACTACTAAACAGACGAAGTTTACCAGCAGCCAGTTCTGGGAATTCTTGGAAACCAGATGTGCACGTTCCGTCGGTGTACTAAAAAACAGTATGGACTTATGTGAGCGATTCATTAAATATTCCATCCTCTACCTACTTGTGACTTCATACGTTTGAGACCTAACCCTATCCCCGCTTAATCAGCGAAGAGAAGTTATGCTAAAACCGGTCACAGGAACCATACAACTATTCAACTATTTGAATTTTCAGGCACAATCGTTACAAAATTGATACCTTAATTACGTAGCTCTGTGGCGACATTACCAGCTGTGCACCTCCGATGGCGAAAGTGATTGGTGGAAGCTTAGAAATAGTGCTGCAGTCAATCGATCCTGATGCGCCTGCTCCGATTGCTTTTTGGATCTTAAATTGGGAGTTGCGCAAGAAACAGGTAAACTGAAGCTTATGTTGAAGTTTACCTCTTGGACAAGTGCAGGTGGTCCAGCAATGAGTGAGGTGCCACTGTCGACGATTGCTGTGACGGGTCCATTGATAATTTGCTGCCCGTTGATGCTGAGCCCTCCGAGTTGTATTTGCCAATAGGTCTCTGAGATGAGCGGCTCCCATGCAATTGGGCCCTTGAAAACGACCGTCATTTCCGTCTACCAGAATTTTCAGGGCAGTACCTGATAATGGGTAGGGTCGATTCCACACAGAGTCAACTCTCCGCCCACAGTATTGTTGTAGAGGTCACGGTTTAGATAGAAAGAGAAAACAGCTGTCGGACAAAGAATCTGCAAAGGTTCCACATCCTATGAAGTTGACCAACGCACTTCGTGATCCCCCCACGCATTGAATCCAAATTCGTTGTTCTGGTTTTGTAGGCGCATTACACGTATACAATAGACTGCGAAGGTTATCCTATGAACACCAGTACCCCTTTATTCTTCCAGAAAAGTGCGGTGTCCATTGGTTAACGCTCATGGATGATAGGTTGGGTTAGCGCCGGGAATCGATTTGACAGCTTTGCTGTTTACTACGCGAGTGCATAATAGTACTCTACGGAGAATCGAAGCTGTCTTTTCAATTTTCGAACTCTGCATATTCTGCTCTTTTGTACTTTCCATGGACCCCGTCACGACTTGCAAGTGGTATAGCCAACTTCTTGCATTAACGCTTTGCGTTTTATAGAAATGACCTGATTAGAGAAGATCTGAGACATTGGTTGGGAAATGCCTCCCTTTGCGATAGAATCCCATGCCATTCCGAGAATGCCGTCGAATGGCGTGTTCTGGAAATAGGAAGTCGATACTCTCTTCATGTTACCTGTTCACAGAAATACCATCCCAACTTACAAGGAATGTGTCTCCAGGTTCTTGCATTGCACAAACAAATCCTTGGTAGCTGTTGGTGCAGTACTTTTGATTCGTTCCGAACTGTAAAAGACCTTAGAAACCTCTGGGTTGTAACATCTTTCGAGAGTTTCCAAAACTAACACAGACAGCGTCGTAGTCGACGTAACCCTGCAGCGAGCCGGTCCCATACCGAAGCGGAAGGGACTGGTACGTTTGGGTGCAAGTTGACGATTGCGCACAATTAAACTGAAAATGATTAATTGATTGTTCACATTGGTTTTACCGCAGTTTGCTGTCCATCTACCTTCTGATGTTGTGAACAAGCTTTGTTGGTGAGTGGGCAATTCGAGCACGGGACCCATAGGTTGGACGAGCCGGTGTCAAATAGCACTTTGAATGTTTGAGGAGGAGTTCCAATCTGGATAGTGCCGTAGT